ATTTTCCAGGCCTGCTTTTTCTTATTCTCCAAGATTCAAAAAAACCAAACCTTGAGTTTAAAGAAAATGAATGTATAGTGAAGCTTATAGTAGACTCCCATAGCATCTGTATTATTAAATGTACAAATAAACTACCCTCCCGAAAGTATTGGGCTCATAAAGAATTGAACTTCATCTTCCCCTGTTTCACTTTCAGATTGTACTGGAGAGTGAATGTGATTTCATTCTATGTATGATAATGATAAGCCCATATATTTTGTCAAAAAATCTTTTAATTATAAATTAGCTGTTAGTAACCATATATTCTATATTTTTCCTTTTAAATTATTATTTATACTTATATATGAAATATTGTGACCTGATATATTAGTCTAATATATGTTGGAATCCTTCAAGAGCTTCTCCTTTAATTATTCTTAAATTCATGATTGTTAGAGACATAATTGCCCTATTATGCTATATAATATTAAATCTACTTCCCTTCTTCTGTTTTTATGCCCTGTTGTTCACCCTCTCACTGTTTCCCCTCCTTTTTCTAGCCTCTGTGACTTCTACTCTACTATATATAGCATTTTAATGATATCCTGGTGTCTTCATTCGTTACTTTTCTTATCTAATAAGCTCTGAAGATATACCATGAATAACAGCATCTGTTTGCTCTTTTATCTTTGTACAGATAATAAAGAACAAACAACTGGCCAGTCTTTGGGTGAGTTGAGTTTGCAGTACATGATCAAATGTAATTATAATGTTTAACTCCAATTTTTTTATTATCATGAAGGAATTTACAGTATTGAACTTGATTGATTGAAGGACATTGGGGCAGATTTTTATTTTGGGTAAAAGAAATTACAGAAGAACCTTTAGAAACATTATAGCTGTGGGCTGGAGGGATAACTCAGCCATTAAAGGCTAGGCTCACAACCAAAAAGTAGAAAGATTTTGTTTTGTTTCAAGTCAGTTCCTAAGGAGTGATTTCTGTTTCTGGCAACACATAAACAAAAAGAAACATCATGCTGCATTGAGGAAGAGGTAGTCATTGCTGTTCTCTAATGAGGTAGAAATCAGGAAAATACTGTTTAAGTGGCAGTAAGCCTTGAACTTTGTTTTCCCACCCTCTACAGTTGGAAGAGAAGAATGTAAGGTAAGATTACATGGGTAGTAACATTTAAGCATGCTTTGGAGAAGAAGACACAAGGGAGAATATCCAGGAGAGCCATTCATAAAGGCTTAGTAGACTAATATTTAGAGAGTAGAAGTAGCTAACATATTGATCTATGGCAGTCAAGTTAAAATATGTCTGATTGGCTTTTATCAGAATTTTGAACCCTTGTTTTTGTTCTTTTTTCATTTTTACTTTTTGAGACAGTATCTTAATGTAGCCCAGGCTAGCCTTGAATTCACTATCTAAGGATGACTTCAAATTCTTGGATCTTCCTGCCTCTGCATCGCAAAGTCTGTGATTAAAAATTCAGTGCCCAGATTAGAAAGGAGAATATTAATGAAACTAGAGAAAGATTTGTTAGCTAGGCGGTAGTGGTTCACATCTTTAATCCCAGCACTCAGGGAGGCAGAGGCAGATGGATCTCCATGAGTTCAAGGCCAGACTGGTCTACAGAGTGAGTTTCAGGCCAGCCAGAGCTACACGGAGAAAC